GTCCTGGCTGCCCACTCAGGGGCTGGTGCTCCTCACATCAGCCCCAGCTCACTCCCTGCTGCATGGGGGCCAGAGTGCCAGGAATTTACACAGACAGGCGGTGCAGGGACAAGAAGGGATGGTTTTAAACTAAAAGAGGGGAGATTAAATTAGATATTAGGAAGAATTCTTTCTTGTGAGGGTGGTGAGACCCTGGCACAGGTTTCTCAGCGAAGCTGTGGCTGCCTCATCCCTGGAAGTGTTCAGGTTGGACAAGGCTTGAAGCAGTCTGGGATAGTGGAAAGTGTCCTTGCCCATGGCAGAGGGATGGAAAATGAAATGAGCTTTAAGGTCCCTTCCAGCCCAATAGAATCCTGTGATTCTATTCCTTTATAGCCATTAGATCAGCCTTTGCTCAGCCGTGCAGGGAGGATGATCCTGCCCAGAGAGATTGGCAGTTCGTGCATTGCCCTTTCAGACAGGCATTCCTTTCTGCCCAAGGAACCGAGGGCTGGATCCTCTCACTTTTTAAAGTGTCTGCCTTCAAAATGGTGGCTGCTTCTCACTTGAAGTTCATGGGAACAGATGGCTGGATCTCAGAGACAGGAGTTACAAGCTATAGGGTGTTTTTCACCACATGTCTTGCTAGTTTCCCTCCTAAAAAAAAAAGATCTGTGTGAGAACCCTCCCAACATGCCAGGCCAAATCTGACCGTCTGTTAAGTTCACTTTATATAATCTCTGTTTAGAACTGAGTGCCCTTTAAAAACCCGGGGAGGGCTCCTCGCTGGGAGCTCCCGGAGCCCCAGCAGCTGCACAGCCACCCCTACCCAGAGCCCAGCAGCCTCTCTGCACAGAAATTTGATTTTTAGCTCTGGAGGAGGGGGTAGCCTGCTCAGTGTGTGTGTGTGGGGGGCATGTGCACGCTCAGGGCACAGCCAGGGCTGGTTGGCAGCGCGTGCGTCCCACGGGCACATCCAGCAGGAGAAGACACCAGGCTCTCACAGCTCCAGGAGCAGCATATGCTCCAGGAGACCTCGCTACGTTGCATAAGCCTCCCATCCCAGGAGCTGGCTGAGCACAGCACATGAGTCAACAGCACAGCGAGACTTGTGCCGTGGGAGTCACACCTACTCTTGGCTGCAGAATTATCCAGAGAAGCAGAAGGTTAATAGGAACAAAATAAAGCCTAAGGAAGACTTAAAGGTTAGTTACAGGATTTGATTCTGTTGGAAAGAGAAAATGGGTCAAGCCAAGCAGGGGAAAGCAGGGTAATGCAAAGCCACGGTGTCTGTCTCCTCAGGAGACAGTCCAGTTTGGATCAGTAAAAATGTGATCAATAAAACATTTGTATTTTCCAATTATCTGCTTCTGGAGAGGGCCGTTGTTAATCACAGAAAGAATGAAAAAGAATGTGGAGTAAAGCTCCAGGATGCTCAAGAAATATTAAAACTGCACGAAAGCAGTTCTGCAACACGGGGAATTGAAAGTGTGTAAATACAGGCACAGCAAACACCTGAGCCAGAGCATCAGCACCACCAGCACAGCCCTTGGTTTGCTTCTGCTCTACAGATCATTGCTTCATCAGAGATCATTACTTTCTCCTGGGACAGTTTCAAAACTTTGATTCGGACAGGAATCAGAAGCGAAGCGGGAGCAGGTCTGTCTGTGGCACCTGAGAGCCCAAAGCATCCCTGGTCCCTGCAGGGCAGGGCTCTTGCTGCTGTGCAGTGCCAGCACTGGCACCCACAGAGGAGGGACAGCGGGGCTGGGCTCCCCACTTCTCACCAGTTTGGCCCCAGTTTGGCCTTGGTACCCCAGGACACTGACTGCTCTGCTGCAGTTCTCAGGTTGAGTCCCCACTCAGATCTGATCCAAGTTTCCAAGTGGGCTCCAGGGCAGGGTGGGAAATGGGGATATCCTGAAAAGATGAATTCACAGGATTTCAGGTTATAAAGATGCTCCACTGAGTAAAATTTTTCTTGGTGTTGAATCCTTACTGTAGGCTCATGTAAATGAGTTTGGTTTATTGCATTTGTATTTGTCAAGAATGCAGTGGGGCCTCTCTGGCCTCGGGAGAAGAAAACGAGGGAATACAGAAAGTTGTGTTTAATTTCCAGGATGCTGTCTCATTTTTTTCCCCATAAAACAAGATTCCCATGACCAAAGCTGATATTGCTTGTGATGCAGACTTGCCTGCCTGAGGTTCACCTCAGTCCCAAATCCATGCTGTGAAAATCGGGGATTACCAAGGTGGGAGTGGAAGCCCCTGGAGGCTCGGAGCTGCCTGGGAATTGTGTCCTTGCCGTGCAGGGTCCTGGCTGCCCGCCACGTCCCAAGGTCTGAGCGGAGCAGGACCGTGGGGGAGGTGTTGGGCAACACAAGGGATGGTTCATCCCTCGCTCCCGGTGCTCTTGCAGAGGAAAAGATCGTCTTGTGATCAGGGCACAAGACCAGGAGTCAGGCAATATGGGTTACTGCAGAGCTGATTTGCCAACAGGAGCAAAGAGTCCTGACACCTCCAGAGGCACGGGCACTCTGGGAATGTGCAGGTTGCCTTCTGTCACAGCATATTTGGGGTTCTTCGTGGTGGTCTTGTTGCAGGGTAACAGCTCAAGGGATTTAGCGAAGTAGTTTGAGTGATGAACTGTACTGTGATGGAACCAAAGAACACTTAGTGACCTTGGGCTGAAGTCTGGGGAAAAAGGCCCTTAGGATGGTGGAAAGGTTTACAGTGAGCTCATGGGCATTCTACCCCCCACCCCCTTCCCTGGGACCCTGTGACTCTGATCAAGATAACCCCTGGACCCTCCTTTCTACCCCAACAGGGCTGGTGGAGAGCCAGGGAAGCCCACCCTGTCCAAAACCTATATAGACCCCTGACATTTCCTGTTCATCCTCTTTTGCCCCACTCTCCACATGGACAACACAGAATAAAGAGAGCTGAACCAATTTATATTAGGGTAAGAGCCTCTTTTGAATATCTTTAACCTTCTCCTGATATTCCTCCCCTCACAGCCCCTTATCTCTGAGCTAGGTGGATTATTCAGGGGGCTGCGTGAGGGGGGGAACCACAGAAAGGGAAATGGAGGGAGATGGATTAGTGTGAGTAGTCACCCCAAGTGAGAGGGCACTTGCAGGGTGCTTGTCTCATCACCAAACCCTGCACTCAGCCCATGAAAGTCCTTTCTCTCTCCTGAAGGTGCCAGAATGCCCTTTCCTCTGCAGGAATGTGGAACGCCTGGGGAGCCACCACCGTGCAGAGTGTGTGAGGCACTGGGGTCCTGCACACATGGAGGGCACAGGGGTGGCCTCCCCTCCTGCCGAGGCTGTTTGGGCTGGAGGTGTCACCCTGTCCCTCCCCCTGACTCCAGCCGTGCTGGGAAGGGGACAACACACCTGGCCAAGCTTCTCTGACATGCAGGGTCCCTCCACAGCCCCTGGGCAGTTACAGGAATTCCAGGTGTGGCCATCACCTGTCCATCACTCGGCCCAGCTGAGGGGACCTGGCTCAGGTATTTGGGTGCAGAGCCCAAAGGGGTCCCCAGGAGAGCTGAGCACAGCCTGTGCTGCATCCCTGGCAACGAGCACAGGCTCTGAGCTCCATCCCTGCTGTTCCCCAGCATCTGCCATGGCTCCTGGCACAGGAGACTGCTCAGTTTTTCCGAAATCTGGCTGATCTGTCTCCTGGGAAATGGGAGTCAGCTTGCTCGCACTCCTGCTTGCATCAGTCCCAGAGTGGCAGCTGGGAAGCCAAAGTCCCTCTTTAGCTGTAGACACACACAGAGGAGCTTTCATCCCCAAAATGTGCAAGGTTTGAAATGTTCATGGAGAAAAAAAGAATGTTTCCTTATAGGGCAAAAAAGGATAAAATTCAGTAAATCAGTTTGGTTCCTCTGAGCCTTCTTTCAGGTGCAGACTTGAGGAGCTGGAGGGAGGCAGAAAGGAGGGAGAAATCCCAGCTGAGAAGGTTCTGTGTGCTGTGTCCAGGTGGTGGGAGCCCAAGCAGAGGTCCCTGCTTGGCTGTGGGCTCCCTCCCTGCACCACCCAGCTCCAAACCATTGGTCTTGTGATTAGTTTTTTTTTCTTCTTTTCCTTTTTTTTTTTTAATTCTTATCGTTTCAGTCCCATGATTTTGTTTTCACCATTCCAAGTTCTTTGCCTCGGGGAAGGGAGGCAGGGAACAGCACAGATTTGTACTGCTGTGATTTTTGGGATTTCGTGGGCCATGATGTGGCATTGAAGTGATGGGGCATTGCCAGCCAGGCTGCAGAAATCAGATTTTTGATGGGAAGTGGGTAGTGCACTTCTAATGAAGCTGTGGGTTTGCTTCTATTCATTTCAGTCTTTCACTTCTTTCCTTCCTTTTCCCAAGCAGTGCAAATCCATCAGTTGTGAGCCCCTCAGCAGAACCTGGTGTGGTGCCCCTGCAGGGCAGGTGCTCAGGCACCTTGGTGAGCACAGGACTCTGCTTGGCCAAGGACAGGGAAAGATGAAATCCTGCCTCGTGCTCAGCTTCCAGAACTGAAGGGCTTCTACCATTTCCAGGTAATTTTAATGGCACTCAGAGATAGTTTCAAAATTACACAGGGCTTTTCACCCTAAGGAGTCCCAGAGCAGAGAATTCCATACAGAAACAAAATATGGCAACGGAGTGCTAGTGCCTGGTAAGAAGAGTAAAGAACAACCTTCTGTTTGGATGCTGAGGGAGGGGAGCACCCAGACAGACAGATCTGTGTGACATCTGTACAGGCACACCCTAAGAACGAGCACTGCTTCTCAAACTCCAGCTGGAAACCCACCCAGTGCCCACCTGACCCAGGGCCAGGGGGACTGGTGGGACCCTGTGACCCAGAGCCTCCTGCTCTGAGTCACTCTGTCCTGCTCAGCTGCCCTCGGGGCATGGCCATGTCAGGCTCCAGGGGTTTTCTGGGATTGCAACTGGAAAGAAGCAAGAGGGGACAGTGGTGGATCATCAGTGTCCCATGGGGAGTGAGGTGTCTGTCACCTCCTGCCAGCCCTGGCGGCATCACCGTGGCTCTGTGGCAGCTCTCAGTGTCACACAGGGAAAGCTGGGTGTGATTAAAGGCTCTGGCACCCCCAACTCATCTCCCAAAACCCTCCCCACCACATTTCCCAACAAGACACAGAATAGAAACAGAAGCTCCTGCCAGGGAATTTCCACCCCAAATCAGTTTGAGTAGTGGGAATAAGCCACCAAAAGAGCTGATTGTTTTGTTTTTGTTTTCCTTTTTTTGGTTGTTTTTTAATTTTGTTTTTCGGGAAAGTTGGCTGTGTGGATGTGTGATGTGGTGGTGGGTGTGGTGACCCCAGCACGGCACAAAGCCTTGCTCACAAGGGTTGCTAAGTGATGCCTCAAAGGATTGCCACGGCTGGGGAGAGACGACAGCCGAGGGTAGGTCGGGTTCCCAAATTGTTTTATGGCTAAAGGATTTTTCAGAGTTTTCTTTGCAAACATAAATAGAATTTATCTGTATTTTTAAATCCCATAAGAAAAACAAACCCCAAGATCTTCCACTAACTTTTTGAGGAAGTTCTTTCTGATGGAAATAGTTTGGTATCCAAACTCCACAAGGCTCGGTGGCTCGGGGGAGGTCATGGCAGGCAGCTGTGCTGTCCTGTTACTCAGTGCTCTGGGAGGGGGCTGCTGGAAGTCTGGAGGAGGTTTCACGATGGAAGACTGGGCTAAATAAAGGTCTTCCACCTCCATAATTCCGGCAGCTGCATTTCAGCAGGCTCCAGTCACAGTGTGACACGGCGTCTCGGATGGAGGAGGGAGCCTCAAACCTCGCTGCCTTTGGGTGGGGGCAGCCAAAGTGATTAATGGAGCAGCCTCTGCTCAGGTGGGCTGTTCCTGAGCTCCCTGAAGGTGATCTGCAGCGAGTCCTGCTGCTGGTGAGCTGGCAGTGATAACTCAGTTCTGCTGCCTGTCCCCAGGACGTGCCTCTTGCTGCACTTAGCACCGAGGGGCTGGAGCCTGGCAAAGCCACAGCCCCCGGATGTCCAGCCCAGCCTGTCATTTCCAGTGAAACTGGGGTTGTCAGGGGCATCCAGCCAGTCATGTCATGCTCTGGGCATCCTGACAGCTCCTGGCTGCTGGCTGGGAACAATACCACTGTTCCCAAGGGGTGGCAAACCAAAATCAGGGTATTTTAGTATTTCCGATGAGTTTGGAAAGAGTAGCCAAAGTTGACGGGCTCCAGGCAGCTGTTTATAGAGTCATGGAATGGTTTGGGTTGGGAGGGACCTTAAGAACCATCCCATTCCACTCCCTGCCATGGGCAGGGACACTTTCAACTATCCCAGGTTGCTCCAAGCCCCATCCAAGCTGCCCTTGGACACTTCCAGGGATGGGGCAGCCCCAACTGCTCTGGGCACCCTGTGCCAGGGCCTCACCTCCTTCACAGGGAGGAATTTCTTCCTGATATCCAATCTGAAACTCTCCTCTTTTAAGTTTAAAACCATCCCCCCTTGTGCTATGGCAGCAGGCAGAGCTGAAAGGAGGATGTGGTGGGATGTTTTGTTTCCATGTGCAGTTCCTCACGCCAGGCTGGGTTATCCCTGGGGTCAGGAATCAGCCCCCACTGATCCCCTCGGCTCACCTGGGGCTCCCCTGTCCAGGCAGGGGTTAATGAGGGATTTGGGCTGCTCTGGGAGAGCCCATCCAGGGCGTAGGAGAGACTTGGAGGTTGTTATTCCCATCAGGAGAGCTTGGGAGAGAGGGACAGCAGGCCAGGTCCCACCTTCTGGCTCAGCCTCCACAGGGAGTTGCTTGTGAGGCCAACTTCCTCTGGGAGGAAGAGAAAAAGAGCCATGGAAGCTGTCCAAACCCTCTGCTGAGAAAGAGGGCGAGGCCAGACAGGGTTGATTCGGGACTTTATTTGGGTGTGCTTGGAATTGCCTGTGCCGGGGAAGCACCGGGAGCCCCAGGACGCAGATGCCCTGTGGCTGCTGCAGGGTGGATCACCCTCCCACACCTGCAGAGCTCACCTTGCTGGCTGCAGGGGCAGCAGCCGCCGCTGAATGGGCTTTTTTGGGGATGGAAATAGGAAATGAGCTCTGCAGCTGAGCCTCTGCAGGCACCGGGGTGCAGAGAGCTCTGCCGGGAGGGAGGAGGCTCGGCCAGCACAGGCACTCGGTTAATAAGCAAATATATGTGGCTCCATATATTAATAACTCCTGGAAGCAAAGTAGTTCTGGGGGTTGAGTCTCTTGCCTGCTGGAAGTGACTGAAAAGAATTGGTTTTATTTCTCCTCCCAGGTCACAGGACCCAGACGTTTCCAGGTAACACACCTGAGCCCGGCTGGCTCCTGAGCAGTGAGCCTGGGTGTGCTGCTGGCCCTGGGGCTGGACCCCACTGACTGTTCTTCCAGGTGTTTGCATGCCTGCATACCTTGCTCTGGCTGGAAAAAAGCTTGGAAAAGCTGAAACCTGCAGCCTGTGGCTGTGGGAAGGAGCCATGAGGGGCAAAGGGACTGCTGGGGGCTGTGGCAGCTCCTGCCCACGCTGGGCTGGGGTGACACTGAGGGGCTCCAGCAGCTCTGGAACCAGCAGCACCTTGGCCTGTGGCCACTGTGGTGATCAGGGGACCCTTTTCCATGACACTGTATCACAGGGGTGATTCAGCAGCTTTCTAGAAATGCAAGGATCTAAAAGAAGTAAAGAAGGGAGTTTTCCTTCTCTGTTTTCCTTCTCTGTTTTCCTTCTCTGTTTTCCTTCTCTGTTTTCCTTCTCTGCCTCTTTCTACATTAAGAAATAAGGCAACTTGGGTTCTCCCTTCAGGGAACAGGGAAATTTGGCACCAAAAAGCCCCTCCATCCCTTCCCACATCCCTCCACCACATGTCTCCGCTTCACTTCTCACTTGTTTTGACATCAAGTACTTTCCCCAAAAAATATTAGTCACAACTTTGGCTTCAACCAGCCAACTCTTAACCTTCCTCAAAGTGGTTTGCAGGGGTGACGTTGGTAATGTGTGATGGAGATGGGGATGGGTGGGCGGATTCAGGGTTTCTGGAAGGTTCTGCATCGAGGTTTGGGAGCCCTGAAGCTGCTGCCTGCTGCTCTAAGGGAATCCCAAAGGACCTGCCAGCAGATCCAAGGAGCTTCGGTGGGTCCTTGGAATAACACAGACTGTGAGGTTGGAAAACCAGGACATCTGGTGGGGCTGAGATTGTCAGTGGAGGCTGAATGAGCAGAGTGATGAGTATGGTACAAAGCTGACTGGTCCGTGCTGAGGGGTGTCAAACCTGAACCAGCTGCCTAAAATCTGGGTTTGGAACAATAACAGCTCTGTTGAGCAGTTCAGCACCAAGAGGAGGGAAAACCCCAAGTGCTGTGTGGGATCAGGTGTGGATTCCTCGGAATTCCTGGGAAGGAAGGAAGGAGTGAGGGACGCTTGGGTTGGGCAGAGCTGTGAAATCGTGTTCCAGCCCTGCAGCAGCTGCACATGAGGAGCCTGCAGTGGCTGTGGCATCCAGGGTGAACCCAGCCCTGTCTTCCCTGTGCTTCCTCAAGTAATTATCACACACCTTGCACCCTAATGAGAACCTGCTCCATTTTCTCATCCCTCTGCTCCGTGGCTCTTCCCTCATGGCCGCTCCTTCAGAGCTCTTTGCAAACCCCATCTGCTAAAGGGCTCGGATTTTCTTTTTAAAAGGAGGAATCATTGGAAATTAGTAGTTTCTCTGTGCGTTATTATGCTTATAATCCTCTAATTTGGTAATGGGGCTGTAATCACAGCCAGCCCGGAAAGGTGCCCTGGGGATTCCCAGGCACAGCATGCCTGGACAGAGCGTGATTCCACGGCAGGAAAGGCAGGGAGAGAGAGGATGGACCTCCCAGCACTCCCAGGGATGGAAAAGCAGAGTCAAACACAGCTCAGGGGTGAGGAATCCTGAAATAAGAGATGTCAGCATGGGCAGTGGCAGACCCTGTGCCCAGAGCTTGTGTCTGTGGACAGAAACTGAGCTTGACAGCCCCATCCTACCCAAAAAGTCAAGAGAAAACAACAAACTCAAGGGAAAACAACAAATGCTGTCCCTCTGCCAGGGATACTTCCTGCTCAGGAAAGTTTTTCAAGGCAGGTGAGTTCCCAGGATGCAGAGGAAGGTGTGGGCTGTGAGCGAGGCCCTTCCAGCCCCAAATCACAACCTGCTGCTCCTGAGGCTGCTGCCCAGCCAGTTCCCACCACAGGATTTTCTCCCTTCCAACCCTGTAGTGAGGGAAATTGGTGCAAATATGCAGCTTGCTGAGGGTAACGTGTGGTGCCGAGCCACACCTGTATAAAAAACCAAGCAGGGACTTCCAGATTGTTAGACTGGAAAGGTGAGGGGAGCTAATTGGGATCTGCTAATTGGGATCTGCAGTGCCTGGCTGTCCAGACAGGGAATCCACCCGTGCTGGGGCTGGTGGCTGCTCAGGGAACTGCTCATTCCCACATCCTGCAGCCTGTGCAAGGTCTCCTGTTGTGCCACCCTCCCAGGCTGCAAGGTGCTGGCGACAGGGGCCTTGGTGTCAGCAGAGCTAAACCCCGAGTACAGCCCTGCAACCACCAAGGAAAGGAGAATGAAGCAGGTCTGGCTGATGTTGGAGATGGGTTATATTCCAAATAATGCTGAAACTCAGTCCCCGTGCAGGAGAGGTGGATGGGAGAGGTTCCCAGGGGCTGAAACCTCAGCCCTGATGGGCAAACTGGAATCAGGGATGTCTTCACTCAGCACAGCTGGCTCAGAGATCCAGGGAAAACCCTGAGGCATAAGAACTAAGGGACTAGAAATGCAGAGCAGGGATGAAAATGATGAAAATGAGACAAAGTCACCACTTCCCAAAACCTTCACAGTGAAGGAAACACCTCCCACTGTCTGGAGGATCCATGGGAATATTACAATATTTGTTCCAAAAACATGACTGGGTGGATCCAGACTCACTGACGCAGACACAAGCAGCTAATTGAATTCATACGTAGGAACCCTGGACACCATCTGGCCTCAATAAAACGTGGGGCCAGAGCTGTTTCTTAGCAGATGGTTCCTCATTTTCATAATCTGAAATCAAAAGATCATTTTTCTATCTGGAGATCAAAGGCACCTAATGTCTCCTTGGTCGAGGGTTACGAAGCGAAACCCGTGTCCTCTGTTTTGGCTTTTGGGGTGAGGCAGACGGGGGTTTTCCCCTGAAACCTCTGCTCAGGCTCCGGGCAACCACATCTGGGCAGCAGCTGCAGATGTTCACAGCTCTCCAGGCCTGGGCTGTATTTCCACGATAGGGACGTGCACTGTATAAAATCAGAAGGGACAGCTGTAAGAAGCTTGTGTGGCCATTTCTATTTCCCCAGACTCCTGCAGTACAGCCCATGTGAATATTTGGGGATGAAATGATGCCTTTTGCCTTAGAAGAT